GCTGAGCTAAATCCCCAGCCCCAGAAGGTTATAAACCTTATTCAGTGTTATTCAATAATAACAGAAAATTTCCCAGACCTAGAGAAGGGTAAAATTTTTCAGGTACAGGAAAGTCAAAGATCACCAGTCAGATTTAAATCAACCAATTCCATTCAAAGACATAATATGCTCAAGCTTTCAAGAGTGAAACATAAAGAGAAGATTAAGAAACGAATACTTAAGGGTGTCCAAGTTCACCTCATTTAACAAAAACCTCACAGGGCATGCTTATAGCAGATAAAATAGACTTTAAATCTAAAGCAGTAAAAGGAGACAAATTACAATATAAAGGGATTAATTTAGCAAGAGAGAATTACACTTGCAAATGTGAGTGTGTATACTCAGTATTGGAGTGTGTATACTCAGTATATGATATATAAAGCAAGTATTAATAAAGCTAAAGGGAGAAGTAGACTCTGATACAATAATAGGGAACTTTCAGCAAGGACAGATACCCCAGCCCACCCTCCTTCTGCAACAATCAATGAAGAAATACCACAATTCAACTACACTGTAGGCAAAATGGATCTGATAGACATCAATAGAACATTCCACCTAACAGATGTAAAATACGCATTGCTCCCGACACATCATGCAACGTTTGCCAGAATAAATCATGTGCTAGGCCACAAAACAAATCCCAACACACACACAAGTATCACTTCCAACCACAGTGCAGTAAAACTAGAAATAATCGGCAAGAAAGACTCTGGAAACTATATAATTCCATGGAAATTAAACAACTTACTCCTAAAAAAGTCAGGGAAAAATTACAAAGTCAATTAAAATTTTTCTTGAAACAAATGGAAACAATGAATCAGCACTTGAAGATAAAGCAGTGCTAAGAGGGAAGTTCATAGTGATCAAAGCCTATGACAAAAAGTAAAAAAAATGTTGGATAAACAACCCATCGCTGTGCATGAAAAACAACCACAAACTAAATCCAAAATTGGAATGAGCAAAGAAACAATACAGATCAGAATAAATAAAACAAATGCTGAAAAATATGAAAAATCAATAAAACAAAGCACTGCTTTTTGAAGTTTTCTAAAAGTGACAAACACTTGAGCTTGACTAAGAAAAAGTCTCAAACACAAAGATGAAGAAAGGAAACATTACAACTGGTATTACATAATTGCAAAAAAAGCCCATGAGACTATTAAGAACATCTATATACCCACAGAGATTGATAACCTAGAAGAAGTGAACGTGTACCTTATCAAAGTTAAATCGTGAAATACAAAACCTGAACAAAAATAGACACATGGGGTTACCCCACACTAGATAATTTCTATACAGCAAAGGAAACAACCGTCAGAACGAAGAGATAATCTACAAAATGGTAGAAAATATGCATGAACCATACATCTGACAAGAGGTTAGCAGTGAGCCATAGACAGCTCTCAAAGGACAGCACACAAGTGGCCAACAGGTACGTGACAATATTTCATCAGAGAAATATAAACCAAAATCACAATGAAATATCACCACACTGTTGTTAGAATATCTATTTTCATAAGGAACAGACAACAGCTAGCAAGGATGTAGAGAAAAAAGAAGCTCTTGAACACTGGTGGGAATGTAAATTAGTACAGTCACTGTAGAAAAATAGCATGTAACTTTCTCAAAAAAATAAAAAAAACAAAACTATCATATGATCCTGGAAACCCATTGCTGGGTATATGTCCAAAAGAAATGAAATCAGTATCAAGCTACACTCCTGTGTTTATTGGAGCTCTATTCACAACAGTGAATGCAAACAACCAGTGTCCATCAATTGATAAATAAAGAAACTATAGTACAAATATAGTCACAAAAAATAACAGGAGTCTTATTGTTTGTAATAACCTAAATGGAAATAGAGCTCATCATACTAACCAAAATTAATGCATGCACAAAAAACCAAGTACCACATGATCTCCCTCAGATGTAGAATATGAAATAGGTTGTCTCATGGAAATTAAAAGAACAATGACTGGAAGCAGGGGAGAATAGGGAGTTGGGAGGGACGAGTGGAGGTTAATCAACCGGTAATAAGTTATAATCAGAAGAAAAATGTTTTGGAGTTCTGTTGCACAGTCCAGTGACTATACCTAGTTACAATGTTCTACGTATATTTTTAAAAGTAGAAGAAATGACTTTGAATGTTTTTATCATAAAGACATGGCAAGTGCCTGAGGACATAGATATGTCCACCTGATTTGAACATCACACAATGTGCACATGAATCAAAGCATTGCAAAGAACCCCAGCCGCATATGCAACTTTATGTATCAGTCAAAATTTTAAAAATGAAAATAAATCCTCAAAAAAGAAGCTAAGAATAGTGTGGCTGACCCTTAGTAAATAGTAGCCATTACTTACACTAATTCATGGAAAAGCTAGCAAGAGTTTTGAAAACTCATTTGGCTTTTTCTACGTAATGCACCAAGTGGAACTGGGAAAATTTGATACGTGGACACTAGGACATATTCTAAATACCCTGCTATGAAAGGTCACTCAAGTTGTCTTTGGTCAATCTGATTCTCAGCCATCTGTGAGAAAAAAGGATAACTATGTATTTCAAAATCTATAGATAAGAAAATACACACGAACTTCCTTAGGGTGACTTATAACGTGGGAACTTTTAGAGTGTCTCCTATCTCTTGCATTCGGAATAGCTGGGAGAGAGAAGGGAAGCATATCGGGGGGTAGTTCAGTCCTGTCTAGGAAAAAAGGAACTTGTGCAGTGCGGCCCTAATGAGTGGTGATGCCAGCTATGCGTGCAAAGGGAGGGTGAGCAGGGAAGCGAGCAACACACTGAGATCAAAGGGATTCTGCGCTGGCGGTGCAGGGAGCAGACATAGGACTTTCTGTGTGGAGTCGAGTAGACCATGCTGAACTCTCCTCTTCTGTACACACTCCCTTAAATGGTGCTCCAAAGAGCAAGAGCGGAGTGGACCCGTCATCAGACACGCCACATCCTGGGAGCACGTGAAAGCCCTGCTGGTTCGTGGGTCTCACCACCCGTCCTTACTCTTCCTGACACGAGGAGTCAGGGACATGAGGATATTGATACGGCGGAGCCTCTCACAGCCTGCACATGCATCCGCGCCGATCTGCAGGATGCGTGCCAAGGATGACTCCGTCAGCTCCGCTGGGCTGGTGAACTGCCAGCCTTCACTCGCACACCGGCCATGCAGAGGAAATTAGGCTGCAGTGAGTCTGTCCTGCATTCCCTGGAAAATGGCACTTTTACAAAGCTAACAATGTACTGACCAAGGAGAGTACAAGGTCCTGAGTGAAAGCTGGCCTTTACTAAGGTGAGTACTGCACTGAAAGCACCTCCCAGTGTCAGCAAGGTGGATAAAGAACGGCTCTTACTGGCAGCACTGTCCCATCCGGCTTCACCAGGGTCATTTCTTCATTAGCAGGTAGCGGCCAGCCAGAGGCTTTACACATGGGGTTAAATTTGCCAATATTTACTTCTATGTGATCTGGTAAGTCCTTTATCTCTGGAGTCATCCTGGGCCTGCCTGAATGAAGAGCACATCACCATGAAGTCTAATCATCAGTATAGCAGCAACAACAAAAACAGCTACTTTAACAAGTCATGCACAATATAAGAACTTTGCAGATCTTTTGTTTTATCATCACACAATAAACTTATGACATGGATGCTATTGTGGTCTCCACTTTCTAGATGAGGAGACTGAGGCTCAGAGCCTAGAATCAAGCTCAGGTATCTATGAATCTAAAGTCCATGCTCTTGCCAGCAGACCTAAAAAGAAGACTCAATGTTAGAAATAATTATCATGGCCACCTACCACTCAGATCCGCTGTTCAGTTCCCATCTAGCTTTTGGTAAGAGTATTATCACAAAAACAAAACAGAGAACACAGGCTTACCAGAGGACACAGACTTGGCCACCTGATCTGAGAATTTCAGCCCCAAAACTATGAGCCAGTAAATCTCTTTATGCAGTACACAGTCTCAGGTATTTTATTACAGCAACGCAAAACAAACTGAAGTAATGGGCAAAAAGTGTCCAATATTTTGTGAAATATGTAGCTGGCAGAGATGCTCTAAGAGCTGCAGTAACTTATGCACCTTTGCATTCTGATGGTGGGAAAAGGTAGGATCGAGATAAATACATCAATATTGATATTTGATACAGATATCCTATTTCTCAGGCCTAAAATAAAATGGGGAAAAGGAGTGTGAAGCAGCAGGAGAAAAGGCCTAACAATTACAAAGGTGACTCCTTGAGATATCTGTAGACCTGGAGAGAAAACTCACCAACTTTTTCAGCCCTAGCAGTTATTCAAACAGCAACTGAAAAGTGCTCCAGCATTTTTAAGACACCTCTTCCTTAATTGTTGCTTTGTATTTTCTGAAGCTGGATGGAGGAGAGACCAGAATAGTGGAAAGGAGCTTTGCTCTGAAAGCGCAGGCCTAGACACACCGTGCTATCTCAGGTTCTCCCCACCACACTGAATACCTTTTTCAGCATTGGTTTTAGAAAAGGAAAGAAGGGGTGAAGCACAAAATTCACATCCTTAAATTGATTAGTTGCCGTTTTCAATGCACCCCTGCCCCTGTAGCCCCAAGGCCTTTCCTTCCCTGCCTAGCCACTTCCTATTCCTGCACTTTAACCAAGTCCAGTCTTGGGGAAAGAGGAAAAATCATAATGCTGAAAAGCTTAAGAAAACAATTGCTGGTACCTGCCCCTCCTCCGGTGCACATACATATTTGTCCTGATTTCAAAAACTAACAGAGAAAAGACTATAGCTGCCTTATTCTGATTGTAGATTTCACAAATTGATTTGAAAATTCATACAAGCATGCTCCTTTTAATATGCTGCTTTAAGAACTCCAATTTTAGACATGGATTAGCACTTTTTTTTGTAAAGAAAGCAAATATTTTCATCTTTGCAAGCCATGCTCTCTGTGGTAACCACGCAGTGTGGCCCTTGAAGCGCAGGAGCAGATAATGGCTATGTATCAAGTGCAGCTGTGCACCAGTAAAATAAAACTGTGCCGGATAGTAACAGACAGCAGACAGGGGCTGGGGATTTAGCTCAGCAGCAAAAGCGCCTGCCTGGCAAGCGCAAGGTCGTGAGTTCGGTTCCCGGTACTGGAGAAAAACCAAAAACCAAAAAAAAAAAAAAAGAGAGAGAGACGGCAGACAATGAAAAAGAATGTTGACACATGCAACAATATAAATAAACCTCAGAAAGGTATGGGACAGTGAAAGAAGCAAGCTACAAATGACCATAAATTGTATGATCCCATTTACAGGGTATTTATAGTATAAAAACATCAAGCTTAGGCAAATCCACACAGACAGAAAGTAAATTAATAGTTCTCTCTAATGGGTACAATGTTTCTTTTAGTATGACGAAAATGATCTAAAATTATATTATGGTAATGATTGCACAATTCTGTAAACAAACTAAAAGTTACTGAGTTAATACATTATAAAAAGGTGATCATTATGCTATAAAATTATATCTCAAAGCTGTTTCTTTAGAAAAGATGGTGGGTTGGATGTGGTCTGTGAGTTTTGAACCAAAATTATTTAAAATTTCACGGTGAGTGTAATCTTTTCTCTTTGTTTCATTCTTGCTCTTTCTGAAAACATCTTTTGTCCAGATCGCTGCAGAGTAACTCTTTCCCAGCCAAGGAAAACGCTGGCGCTAGAGAAGGGAGAGTGGGGGAAGCTCTTGGTTGGCCAGTCACCCCTTACTGTGCTACAAAGAGCACAGGGCTTATTCCTAGTGGGAAGAGAAGTAAGGCTGGGATGAAGGCCTACTACAGAAAAGGGTTAGAATGCTGTTTTGAAGAGCAGGGGTAAATTCCTCCCAAATCCCGGAGAGGAACAGTGGCTCGAAGACTTTACGGTATGTGCGAAGAATTGCACCAGTGAAGCCTGTCCAGGCATGCGGAACATAACCCTGAGTACAGTGTTACCTTGCTTTACCTTCTCTCTCACACTGGAGGCCTTGCCGTCCTCGAGAGCAGAGGCATCCTTGGAACCGATCGCAAGTCTCGCCGTTGGTGCAATGGCACCTAAGCTTACAGTCGGGTCCGTAATAACCAGGGAGACATTCTGGAAACAAAGACACCACAGCCTGTGTTAATAGAAGGGGAGGGAGAAAACTAAGACCAGAGATCGTTAGTTTTATTTTTGCCCCCAAGCTGTCAATTTTGTTGATTCCTATAAAGTAGTGTATGATTTATCTGCATTACCATGGACTTACAGGACTGAGGAGTCCTGCCTCAGCTTCTAGAAGGGAGGTGAAATTTGAAAGATTGGAATAGTGTGCTTCTCATGTTTCAGCTTTTCACTTAATTCTTGGCTACAGTTGGCACCGTGTGAGGAGACTAGACCTCCAAAGAAAACCAGTAGTCTTGTTTGCGTGTTAAGTCGGGGCCCGGAGTGTGTACCCACAAAGTCACCGGAAGGTGAGAGAGAAAAATCAAGAACAGATCAGAGAGAGAAAGACTCGGATTTTTGGCTTTGAACCACACATACTCAATGAAGATTCAAAACAGCCCAGCTAAAGGTAAAACAATTGGACTGAGTTTGACCTGATGCTGGAGTCAGAGTTGTGGGTGAGTGAGTCTGAGGGAATTTATGAGTCACCATCATAAGGTCTAATACGCATGTATTTGGAGGTTCAAGAAGGAGCAGGGTGGAGGGTAACAAACATGTAAAGAAATAATGATTTAGCTTCTCCCAATTTTTTGACATTTACACATGTAATATAAGTCAGTAAACTCCAATGATAAACATAAAGAAAATTTTGCCTAGACACAACGTAGCCACACTACTAAAAACTAAGAATAAGACTATTTAAATAGTCTCTGCATGCGTGTTTACTTCCTAGCAGTGCATTCAGTCCCCTCCTCCCCGCGAGTGCTTCTATGTCCCACAAGCTCCTGTGAGGACAGAGTGGAACCAGCCCTTCCTTTCTGCAGCTCACTGGACTTCTTAGACACTTCTTGAATTTGGTAGATGGTAAGTGGATTCTGTGGACTAGGAGCATTTATTGTTTTGGTCAATTGTAACATTAATAAAATTTTTTACCCAAACTGAAGCAAAAGCTTGTCCACTGGGGCTCTGGCAATTTCCTTCAAGTGCATAACTGACTCACCTGGCCAAATTGCAATCTCGACTCTTAGTATCTATCACAACTAAGTCATTCAAGGCAATCCCTATCAAAATTCTAAAGGAGAACTTTTCACAGAAATGGAAAAAGTAAATTTCACTTTCATATGGAAACAAAAGGGTCCAGAATAATCAAATAAATATTGAGCAAGAAAAACAAAGCTCAAGATCTCACACAACCTTATTTAAAAATATCATACAAAGCTATAGCAATCAAAATATCATGGTATTAGCACTGAAAACAGACATATAGACCAATGTAATGGAGAACCCAGAAATAAATCTGTGTATCTACTGTCCATTGATTCAGTTAGTTACCAAGAACACACAATGAAGAAAGGATGATCACATTGATAACAGGGGTAAAATAACTGAATAAAATTAGAGGGTCCTCTCACACCATACACAACTTACTTCATATTCATCCTGAGCCCATGCAGGAGGAGGGCATGGAGATTATGTGAGTGCTACACGCCCCCTGGGTAGGGATAGCCTGCTTACAATATTTAAAAAAAGAGGCTTACTCTTCTCTGCCACTCCTCCCTTGTGCTCTTGTTGCTTTTACTGTCTTCCGCTGCCATAAGCTGTTGCCCCCTGCCATGTGCCACTCTGCCTTGGAGCCAGCTAAATATAGACTAAAACCTCCACAAACTATAAGCTAAATAAACTTTCCTTCCTTCATTTTAGGCATTAGATATTTTGTCTCAACAACAACAACAAAATAACCAAGACAAAGACCTAAAACTGTAGAACTACTATAACAACAATTTCAAGATCAAATTAAAATATAAAAGGAAACAGAGAAAGAGCTTTTGCAAATAGGAAAAAAATGAAGAGATAGAAGGTGGGAAAGAATAGGAAAGTAAAAATAATTCAGATGTATTATGCACATGTATGAACTCCCCATGATGAACACAATTATTATGTACTGAAGACACATTACCAGTAACAACTAAGTGCAGACCAAAGGAAGAAAATGTGATGCAGATAGATGAATACACGTACACACAATGGATTACTATCCAGCCTTCAACAGGAAGGAAATCTAGAGGGTGATATTCACACTGCTGACACCTCTCATCTTCCATGACACGACTGAATCTGGAGGACACTGTCAAAGTGAAGTAAACCATGCGCAGAAGGCAAATACTGTATGATCTCACTTACATGTGTAATCTAAAAGACTGGAGCTCATAGGAGCAGGGAATAGTGGTTTCCAGAGGCTGGAGGGTGAGGAAAATGAGGAGATGCTGGTCAAAGTGTACTGTGCTTCAGTAAGTTCTGGAGATGCACACCATGGGAACTATAGTTAAAATTACTGTTTCATAAACTGGGCATGGGGGTGCATACCTGTAATCCCAGTGCTCAGGAGGCTGCGGCAGGAGGATCACCCCAAGTTCAAGGACCCCTGGGTTAAATAGTGAGCTCAAGCCCTGTTCAAACCACCTAGCAAGACCCCATTTCAAACAACTGAAAACTGAAGAATAAGTAAGTTTGTATTGAAATTTACAAAGAGAGATCTTAACACAAACATACACACACAGAGATAACATGTGAATGCCAACTAGCTTGAGGGTGGTACTGTCATCATGTATTGTTGGAGTAAAATCCACACTGATAGAGTTTAACTTTTACATTTTCAAACCTCGAGTCCTGTCTGTGTCTGACCTATGGCCCACTAGAAAGAAAGTCTTCCACGATCTTCCTATGCCAAGCACAGCGTGAAAACAGAACGACAGAACCTCGGCGCTTGCTGCAAATGCAGAATGAGGCGCACTCCAGACCAGCACGTCAGAACGTCCCCAGGGGACGAGGCAAAAGCAACACTTTCTGAAAGGCCCAGAAACTCGGTGGGAAAGTGGGATTTCCTCAGGTGAAGTCATCTGCAATGTAAAACACTGCAGCCCAGCATCGGGCAGGTGCCTGAGCAGTCCAGCCGCACCCTCGTGTGCGATTCCCCCAACAGCACCTCCTCACGCCCGCGGGAACTCTGCCCCCTCGGGACGGTCCGTGCCTACCTTCATTGCACTGCAGCCCCTTCCAGCCTGTGGCACAGGAGCAGCCGTAAGGGTCTGGGAGACAGAACACGTAAGACTCGCATCCGTTTGGCCCAGCACAGCTTTCTTTACAAGTTCTGCCGAATGTGTGCAGCTCACACGCTTTGGGAGGGGAGAAAAAGCTGTTTGAGAATCAAACTGCAACCCACTGAAATGCACGCTTTGTCTTTTAAAGAATCTGTCCCGTGCGAGCGAACAGACTAATCTCGGCCGCAGCAGGGCAGGCAGGGAACGCCACTACGGTCCATTCTGCAGAAAACGAGAGTGTCGGGGGTACTGCTCCCAGCTCTGCAGGTTATGCACTCCGCAAACCTAGACAGTGACGTTCACACTGTTGCCGTCATAGCTTAGTGTATGAAAACCCCTCTGGAAGGGGCAACTTTTCTAATTCACACAAAGTACCACATGGCCTAACACAGGCCACTGAGCCCCCGTTCCCATCTGCGTCCACATTTAAAACTCTGAATCCAGCCATGCCAGCTTTTCGATCTACAGCCTACTCTCAGGACTCGTTACTCACCCTTCTCACACGTCTTTCCCATAAACCCAGGGGGGCAAATGCATTCCCCAGTGTCCTCGTGGCAGACGCCGTTGTTCATGCAAGCGGTGCACAGACGGTGACAGTCAGGTCCCCACTTCCGAGCTTCGCACCCTGCGGTAAGGAGAACAGGTGGGGATGAGTGACCACGTCCACCCTGCAAACTTTTCCTGCACCTGTTTCGTGAAAGTTACTTTAGCGCACACAGGTGAACGAAGATAAAATACAGGCTTTGGGCAGCTTTCCGACATGCCTGATTAGAGGTGCGTTGGGGAGCTCCAAAACGGGAGGCAGTCACACCAGATACAGAAAATTAACCCGAAAGATGAATTTTCTAGATTCAGCCAAATATCTGGGTTGTTTACAAGAGGAAGGGGGGGCAACAGATCTGCACCCCACCGTGCAACCTTCACCCAGCAAAGGCCATTTTGAGAGTGGCTATGACAGCAGGAGGGGAGGACGCAGAGCTGCAGACGCCGGGGATAGGTACCCTGCACAATCTCCCTCCCACGGGGAGGAGGAAACCCAGTGTGGGAGTCAACTGTAGTCAGTCTGGGCCCTAAGGAAGCCAGGGACTGCAACCCCGGAAGGGAAAAGCCAGGAATACAGAACAGGCAGCCCCGCCCCCAGCACCCTCCCAAACACCAGGGAGCACTGTGTCCCTGGAGCATCTTCCCCATGGCCCACCCGCCACCACCCATCACCCAGCGTCCACACGGGGAAGCTCCAACTCTAGCCAGAGAGAGGCTAACCACCGCAGACTGCGGGTGGCACTCGGCTCACCTACAGGGACCTGCTGACGTCATCGCCAGAGATATGGGTGAGGGGAAGAGACCCAAGGAAGCAGCCCCGAGTGGGAGTGGGCTCTGCCCTACTGTTTCCCTACACACTAGAAAGATTTAATACTGCGTGCAGTCCAGCACGTGAAACCCACTGCCCAAAGGAGGCCTTCTGCTGAGCCCGGACACAAGTTTCACCTGTTGAAAAGTGCAGCTCGGGCCTGCCGGGCTGCTCGGCCGTGGTTGTTCCGGCCTTTCCGCCACCTGCAGGGCCGCCCATCCTGGGGCTGCGGCGCTGGTGGGGAGGGGGACAGTAGTTGTAGATCCCACCCCTGCCTCAGTGAAGACACCATAATTGAATGAAGAAAGACTGAACTTACAGGTGCTTCTTATCAAAAGCATCTGTGGAGTAGCGCCACAGTTTGAATAATAAAAGACTTTACATTATGAGGTGAAAAGGAGTAGAATATTGGACAAAAATAAATTTTATAATCTCTGCATCATGATTTTTAGCTACCTGATTGCTGTACAGTCTCACTGTGTGGGGTAGTTCATGCTGAAAACCTGAAGCAAGTACTAGATAAATATGATCAGATTTCTCCAGCCAGTCCTCAGCCTGACAAAGAGAATCCCTTTTTGTTTACCTAATGAAGCTTTCAAAGTCAAATGATCCTTTTCAAGATGAACTTGAAGATTATATTAAAGTACAGAAAGCCAGAGCCTTAGAGCCAAAGACTTGTTTCAGGAGGATGAGGGAGGACTCTTCGGAAAGCTGTGGGTACAGGGAAGAAGTTGATTCCAGACCCAGGCATAGAATGCTTGATCAAAGACTCCCATCTGCAACCATCCAGACTTACCCAAGATCACACACTACTTCACAGACAGAAATCCGGTTACCTCAGTGGTTCCCAGTTCCCCACAACAGGCCCAGACTGGAGTCTCTGAGCTACCGTCAGTTCCCCAGGGACTGCTTCTCGGGAAAAACCCATGTCTCTGAACTCCACCAGCAAGCGTATAACCACGGTTCAGCCAGCATAGACTCTGGAGGCCCCAGCACCTGTCCTCGGGAACCAGGACTGGCGCCCATCAAGCCGGTCATTAGAGAAGAAGAATGCACCCAGAGGAGGGCAAGGAAAAACTGAGGGAGGAGCGGCCCAAGCCTAAGAGGAAAAGAAGTCTTGAGGAGGTGGATTTAGAAGAACACGTGAGCATCCAGAGAGAGAAAACAGGCGTGGAAACAGAACCTGTACAGGGCGGTACTGAACAGCCTAAGCATCATAAGGAGAAAAACACCAAGCTGTAGCCTCTAAGAAGGAGAACCGTAAGCACAGAAAAGAGAAAAGGAACAAGGTGAAAGAGGATAGAGGAAGAAATGCTTTGAGACCAGTCTATCCTCGGAGTTTGAAGCTCTTTAGCTGGTTTTTCTGAGGTTAAAATCAAAAAAATAGTTGGTGCTTGGTTTTATGATATTCATGATCATATCGCTTATGTGAACAGCAGTTTAATTCTAACAAAGGCCAAGTGAACATGAAGTACTTAGTATGCTTGCTCTCCAACGTGGAAAACACTTCTCCTCATTTTCTAAAAGCATTATTACATTTTTCTTACATTTGATATAACTTCCCTTTAAGAGAGTGGTTCTGGTTTATTGAAACTGCCATGATGGTGGAATTATTTTCCTTTGGGAAATAGTTTTAAATTGGAGGATTAATAGGCTTTGCTGAATCTATTTCTTGATTGGATTTGTTTTAGCTTTGAGTTGGGTATTTTTATACTCATTGATTTTCTCTATAAAGCAGTTGAGATTTTTTTCCCCCCTTATTAACTTGCAGTATATTTTCTAAATTGGAAAGTAGAAAATGAATATATTATTATAAGAATAAGTTTATGTTACATATAGTTCTAAAAGTTTCAAAGAGTCTTGATACAAAATCAGTTTATACTCTAGAGAAGTTTATAATAAAATGTTTTATTACTACTACTACTATTAGTACTACTACTAATAATAATAATAAAGTGGAGCTCATGAACCAGGGGTCAGAGGCAGATAAAGGTCTGAGTGCAAAGGAACAGACAGAGTCCCTGGAGATAAAAGGCTTCCGGTGATGCACCGGACAGAAGGGCTGAGAGTGCAGAGAGGGCCGCAGGATCTGCCCCGCAGCAAGGGGAGAGGGACAGGAGGCCACCGGTGGAAGTAGACAGAAAACTGAGTATGGGGCAAACTGCTTCCCACCCTGTTCTTCCCAAATTAACTGAGGTGGTTGGGTCTTGGGACAGGGACAAAGGGGTGCAGTTGAACGCATGGCTTGCAGCCAGAGGTAGAGCCAGAGAGGCTGCCAGCCCGCACCACCGCCAGCCAGGCAGTCCCGCGGCCCACTTTCGGGCGTGGCTTCTTGGAAGCAGACTACGGGGACCGCGCGTACACGCGGGCGCTATTAGTGTAAGTGCTGCACGGGGGTTCTCTTTGGTTCTGGGTTTGTTTTTCTGTTCTGGGTTCTCTCTGGGTTTTTCTTTTCTTTCTTTGGTTCTTGCTTTTTTGCCAATATGATTTTTACTTTTCTTTTTACGTTTTTTTTTCTTTATTCTGATTTGTCTTCCTTTCCTCTTCTTTATTTTCTTCCCCTCCCCTTGTTCATTTTCCTTTGTTCTTCCTGTTTTCTCTCTCCCCTTGTCTTCCCTCTCCTCCACCATTCACTATGTCTACCTCTACAGATATAGATATATGGTTCGTAGATATACATAGATATACACTCTTGAACGGTACCATTCATAGCCATGTTGGGGTAACCCTCGACAGAACTGTGCCTAGAGCATCCTAACAAAACTAACTAGAGATATATTAACAAGTTCCAACACCTCATGGCTTCCTTCAATCTCCAATTATACGTCCTGCTCTCCACATCCCTCCTCCCACCTCCACAGTATTCTCTCCCACCCAACACTAGTCCTTCACTCCAACTGTAAAATACCTCTGGATTCTGACCTCCCATTTTTCACCTCCTAACATCTCCTGTCTCCCTCTCTTTTTGCTTAGTTCCTTCCTTTCTCCTTTCTCTTTCTTTCCCTCCTCTCTCCTCCCTCCTCAACACAGACTGACTGATAATAGCAGTATAGAACAGTTTCTAAGGACAAAATTGTCAAAACAAGTTCTATTGCTCATGACTGATACATGCTTTGGGATGCTGTTGTAGCCAGTACAGATACTCCTTGTTTAATGACCTTCCTCTTTAAGGACTGTTCAAATTTATGACCAATGCACTCAGCAAGAAAGACATTAGGAAAGTCATAAGTACTTAGAAACTAACCTAACCAAGGAAACAAAATACCTCTACAACAAAAGCTGTAGTACTCTGCAAAAGAGATCAAAGAGGGTATCAGTAAATACAGAGACACCTTTTTTCCTAGATAGGCAGAACAAATAGCATCAAAATAACCATATTTTCAAAACTTAGATATAGATTTAATGCAATCCTAATCAAAATACTAACAGCACTCCTTACAAAACTACAGAAAAGAATCCAAAAATTCATATAGAACTAGAAAATACACAGAATAGCAAAAGCAGTTCTGGGAAGGAGGCATCACAATCCTGAACTTCATATTATATTAGTAGCACGATAAAAGCAGCATAAAACAGGGTGTCATACTGGCGTGAAAATAAATGTGAATCGAGGAAAACAGAATAGAGAAGCAAAAATGTATTCACATTCAGCCCCCGATCTTTGACAAAGGAGCCAAAAGCATACACCGGAGTAAAGACGGCCTGCTCAGCAACTGGTGCTGCCAGAATGACTGTCCACATGCCGAAGACTGAAGCTACACTAATATCTCTCGTCATGTACTAAACTCAATTCAAAATGGAAAAGATCTAAATATTAAAACAGACACTCAATCCACTGGAAGATAAAATAGGTAAAACTCTTGAAGCCATAGGTGGAGGCAAGGACTTTGAACAGAACTCGATTTTCCAAAGAAACAACATCAGTAATCAACAAATGGGATTATATCAAATTAAGAGATTTCTACACAGCAAAAAAGTAACAGAGTGAAGAGATGACCTACAAAATGGAAAAAAAAGTGAGAGTCACTCCTCTGACAGAGGAATGATAGCTAGAATTTAAGTAGAACTTGAACCCTCTGAAATAAAAGATCCAATCAAAAAATGGGGAACTGCAATGATGACACTTCTCTGAAGTACGAATGGTCAATAAATACATGAAAAAGGCTCCGCATTTCTTGCCATCTGAGAAACGCAAACTGAATGAACCCTGTGGCTCCCCATCACTTCAGAAAGAATGGCTGTCATGCAAAGTCGAACAACAAGTGCTAGTGGGG